ACCCAGGCCGGGCGCCGTGGGGCACATGTCAGCGAATGATCAGTACAAGCCTTATCTCCGGGGTCCAGCTGTGGCTGGGCCGCGCCCTCCCGCCCGTTACGGAGCCGTTCGCTGCTGCCCCCGATAACGCTGCCCCTGGCCGAGCGGGGGCTGGGTGCTGCCAGTCTGAGCCTGACGCCCTGCGGAGCAGACGCAGACAGCGCCAGTGTCGCGATGAGCCGCTCCCCGCTGACCCTCCTTGTCGTCCTCGGCCTCCTCGGGGGCTGCGGTGAGTGGCCGGGACCCGCCATGGACACGGGGCGCCCTGAGGGGCTAACACGGCCCTCCGCTGCAGGGCAGAGCCCCCGAGGGGCTGACCCCCTGGGCAGGGTGGGGAGGGCTCCATCGGGGGGCCCAGGAGACCCCCATTGCCAGCACCCCTGACTGGGCCGGGAGCTGGAGGGAGCAGGGCAGAGACAATCCCCCACTGTCCCCGCTTCCATCCCAATCCCCAGTGCTGGTGCAGGGACCCTACGGCTTTACTGAGGCCGCTGCTTCCTGGCCGAGCGGCTGTCAGCGTCACCGCTGGGCCAAGCCGGTCTCCGCGTCACCCCCTTCCCGGCCGCTGACCCTCCCCTGCTGTCTGTGCCCGTGCAGCCGGCAAGCTGGCGGTGGAGACGGATGCCTCCCCGGTGCGAGCCAAGGTGGGGGACGACGTGGTGCTGAAGTGCCAGTTCTCCGTGGCGCAGCCGCCCGTGGACCTGAGCCAGCTGGTGGTGCAGTGGTTCCACCGGGGCGGGCAGCTGGTGGAGTTCGACAACGTGGTGAGCGGGAGCCGGCCGGGCGCCAACCTGAACGTGGAGGGGCTACGGAGCGGCAACGCTGCGCTCTACCTCAGCAAGGTGACCCCGGAGAGTGCCGGCAACTACCGCTGCTACGTCACCTATGCGCCCGACGTGCGCATCAAACAGGTCGTCCTCCAAGTCGAGGGTAAGGTGGCCGGCCCGCCAGGGGGCCTGTTATGGGTCATGCCATGGGTTGTGCATGGGTCCTGCTATGGTCGAGCCATGGGGCCTGCCATGGGGCCCGCCAGGGTTGTGCCATGGGTCCTGCTATGGGCCATGCATGGGGCCCTGCCATGCAGTCCTGGCATGGGGTCCTGCCACGGGCCCTGTCATGGGTCGTGCTATGGGTCATGCATAGGGCCCTGCCATGGGGTCCTGTCACAGGCTGGCCAACACTCCCCTTGCTCTCCATAGAGCTGGGAGCTCCCACCCACAGCCAGTGCACCCGCTCCATTCCCCGGCCCCCGGACAGAGCTCCCACCCCGTGCCCACAGCGCCCCCTGCTGGGAGAGGCTGGAGTAGTTGGGCCCTGCCCCCACAGCCAGCGCCCCGCCCACT